CGTGTTCTCCTGGGTGGAATACCGATATAGCGGCCAGGTGAACTCTGACTGACAATATCGCCAAGCCCTGCTGTCTCAGGGACAGGAGATACTCGAGTATGAGGGGAATAGACGCCTCCAGAGGGGGCGTGGCCCGCTGTTCGCACCAACAGGAGAACCTCTTCCACTTGGCTAAGTAGGTGGTCCATGTAGAGGCTTTCTACTTCCCAGCAGAATCTGTTGCACAGGATGTGAGCATTGCACTTCTGTCCGATTCAGCCATGGAGCATCCACGCTGTAAGGTGGAGCGATTGCAGGTCGGGGTGACACAATCAACCGTGGTCCTGGGAGATCAAGTCTGGGCACAAGGGAAGCGTGATCGGAGTTTGAATCGATAGCTCCAGAAGCGTGGTGTACCAGTGCTGTCTCGGCCAAGCTGGCGCGACTAGAATCATATGCGCCTGGTCTCTGCGTAGCTTGAGCAGTACCCTGTGGACCAATGGGAACGGAGGGAAAGCGTAGAACAGCCGGCCCTTCCACGTTAGAAGGAAGGCATCGGAGAGGGAGCCCGGAGATTGTCCTTGAAGGGAGCAGAACTCGTGGCACTTCCTGTTGGCTCGAGATGCGAACAGGTCGACCTGGGGAAATCCCCACCTCTGGAAGATGGAATAGATGATGTCCGGGCGAATCGACCACTCGTGCGTTTGGAAGGATCTGCTGAGACGGTCCGCCAGAGTGTTCTGGACTCCAGGGAGAAACGATGCCATGAGATGAATCGAGTGGGCAATGCAGAACTCCCACAGGCGAATGGCCTCTTGGCATAGGGGAGACGACCGGGCTCCTCCTTGCTTGTTGATGTAGAACATGGCCGTGGTGTTGTCTGTGAGGACTAACACACAGCGGCCATGCAGGAGATTGAGAAATGCCTAACAGGCTAGGCGTACTGCCATGAGCTCCCGAACATTGATGTGCAGAGCTAGTTGGGATGTGCTCCACAGGCCTTGGGTATGGTGCTCCCCGAGGTGAGCCCCCCAACCTAGAGATGAGGCATCCGTGACTAGGTGCAGGGAGGGCTGTGGGGCGTGAAATGGCATTCCTGCACAAACCGCCTTGTGATCCAGCCACCAAGTGAGAGAGTTCAAGACCGAGCTCGGAATCGTGACTACCATGTTCAGGCTGTCCCGAGAAGGGCGGTACACCGACGAGACCCAGGCCTGAAGCTGACGAAGCCGAAGTCTGGCATGTCTGGTTACGTAAGTGCAAGAGGCCATGTGACCCAACAGACCGAGACATGTCCTTCCAGTGGTGATCGGGAAGGCCTGAAGTCCGCGGATGATGTTTGCGATGACGTGAAACTGAGTGTCTGGCAGAAGAGCTTGGGCAAGTGTGGAGTCTAGAACTGCGCCAATAAACTCTATTCTCTGGGTTGGCTCCAGAGTGGACTTCTCTTTGTTGAGTAGAATGCCTAAGTCGTGGAATGTTTGTAGTATTATGCTGACATGCGCCCGAACCTGTTCCCTGGTACGGCCGTGGACCAGCCAGTCGTCTAGATACGGGAACACCTGTATCCTTTGTTGAAGAAGGTATGCTGCCACGACGGCCATACATTTGGTGAACACTCTCGGAGCCGCGGACAGCCCGAAGGGAAGGACGGCAAATTGGTAGTGTACCTTGTTTACTACAAAACGAAGAAAACGCCTGTGCGGGGGGGTAGATCGCTATATGAAAATAAGCGTCGAGGGCGCTTCATGTCGAGGGCGGCGTACCAGTCTCCAGGATCCAGGGAAGGGATGATGGTCCCCAAGGAGACCAGGCGGAACTTCAACTTTACTATGAATTTGTTGAGTTCGCGCAAGTCTAAGATGGGCCGTAGACTCCCTTTTGCTTTGGGGATTAGGAAGTAGCGGGAGTAAAAGCCCTTGCCCCTTAACTCTGGGGGAACCTCCTCTATGGCCCACATAGAGAGGAGCCCAAAAACCTCCTGTATAAGGAGATGCTCGTAAGAAGGGTCCCTGAAGAGGGACGGGGATGGGGGGTGGGAAGGAGGGGAAGAAGAAAATTGGAGAGCGTATCCCCTCTCCACCGTGCGAAGGACCCAATAGCACGAAGTTATAAGGGACCAAGTACGGTGGAAACTGGAGAGGCGATCCCGAAAGGAAGGAAAAGGATCCTGAGTGGTGGCTGGTACGCCGTCCTCGGGCGCAGCTTCAAAAGTTTTGCCTAGGGCCTGGAGGTGGTCTAGGTGGGCCCTGATTCTGACCCTGCTGAGGGCCAGTCGACCTCCGTCTACCACCTCGTCCCCACCGTCTGGGGAAGTCCTGTCTCGGACGAGGAGGAGGAGGGTAGAACCTCTGTGGCTGTGGCCTAAATGGCCTGCGTTGGGGTCCTGGAATATGCTCCCCAAGGAGCGCATCATGGTTCTCGAGTCCTTGAGGCTCTGTAACCTAGAGTCCGTCTTTTCCGAGAACAAGCCTTGTCCGTCAAACGGCAGATCCTGCAGGGTCTGCTGTAGTTCTGGTGGCAACCCCGAAACCTGGAGCCAGGAGACACGTCGCATAGCTATCCCTGATGCTAGTGTCCTGGCAGCCGAGTCCGCAATATCTAGGGAGGCCTGTAAGGAGGTTCTAGCCACCTTTTTGCCCTCCTCCACCAGGGCCCCGAACTCCTCTCTTGAGTCCTGGGGGACCAGCTCCTTAAATTTCCCCATGGAGTTCCATGAGTTATAGTTATATTTGCTTAAGAGCGCCTGTTGGTTTGCTGCTCTAAGCTGCAGACCCCCCGCCGAATAAACCTTGCGTCCAAACAAATCAAAGCGTTTGGCGTCCTTTGATTTGGGCGCTGCCGCCTGCTGTCCATGGCGCTCTCTGGCGTTCACTGATGAGACCACCAGTGAACACGGTGGGGGATGTGTGTAGAGGTACTCATATTCTTTGGAAGGAACAAAGTACTTCCTCTCTACACCCTTGGCAGTGGGAGGGATGGAGGCCGGGGTTTGCCAAATGGCCGTAGCGTTAGCCTGAATTGTTTTGATAATGGGTAATGCCACCCGTGTTGGGGCATCCGATGAAAGGATGCTCACCACCGGGTCCTGCACCTCCACTATCTCCTCAGCCTGTAATTCCATATTTCGTGCCACCCTACGTAACAGATCCTGGTGGACACGAAGATCTATAGGAGGTGGGCCTACGGGTGTTGTACCCGCCACTGCCTCGTCTGGGGAAGATGAGGACGCCGCCTCAGGAGGTAAAGGACCTGAGTGGGGTTCCGGCTCCACGGGACTCGGAGATGCCGGATCTCCTGCACCAGGATCTGGCTCCTGCGTGGGCGTTGGGGCCAGGGCCTCCATACCCCCTGGAGGGGGGCGGGAAATGGTGGCCTCAGGAGCCCTGTGCTCAGAGTGAGCCGAGCGAGAGGGCGCTACTGGAGCCCCTTGAGCCTGGTGATAAGCCCAAGGAGTCCAGAAAGACCAATGCATAGGGTCTTGTCGCAGGTCTTCTGCCCCTTCCTGCCAATGGCCCAAGTCGTCTGCTGGTTGACCTTGAGCATGGTACGCTGAACAGGAGGCTCCTTCAGACGAGTGCGACGCCGATCTCGAGGGCCAGGGTGGTGCCGAGCGTGTGTGCAAAGAGTCGCCCTGATACGGTGCCGAGTGGTGCCGACCCAAGGGCGAGCGACCTCTGCGCGGTGCCAGCGAACGGTACCGGGATTGAGAGCGGTGCCAATGACCATGTCGGTACCGAGACCCAGACCTGGACGACGAAGATAGTCTGTAACCACGGTATCGGGAGTGGCTTCGCAAATGTGAGCGGCGCTCGTACCGGTGCCGGGAGCTGTGCCTTGACTCCGACCGGTACCAGTGCTCGGGTCGGTGCCGAGAAGAAGACCGGTGCCGGGAGGTAGATCTATGCTGCGAGTATGACTGGCGCCGGGATGGAGATTGGTGCCGGGACTGCGAGCGGCGTCGAGACCTGCTCCACGAACGGAAGCGGTGCCGCGAGTCCACGCCCGGAGACGGGGTGCATATCAGGGTAGGCTTGCCCCTGGACTGTACTGCACGAAGCGGTGCCGCAGGTTGAGAAGGTGCCGGCTCCGTGAGTGCGATAAGGTCTCGCGCCGTGGCGAACATCTCCAGTGTGGAAGGGAGACAGGGCTCCACCACTTGACGAGGCGGTGAGCCAGTCTGCGCCGGACTCGACGGCTCCACACCCGGTGCCGGAGTCAACAGTGCTGATGGTCCTTGCACCTTCTGGCGATCGGGAGCCGGGCGCGGCTCTACCCCTGCAGGGGTAGCCGGTGCCTGAAGGACCGCAACGTCCTGAGCCTTACGGGGCCTTTTATGACCGGGAGACAGGGACCGGCGCCGAGGGGCTTGAGGTGGATGCGGTGCCGAGGGAGGACAGTGCCAAGGTACCTTCCCCGCGTCTGCCTGCGGTGCAGTACCGGACGGTGCCGCTGGGGCGCTACGCACCGAGGTGCTTGGTGCCGGAACCTTGTGCACCGAAGGAGGATCCGGGCTAAGTGCTGCCTCCATGAGGAGCTGCTTAAGTCTGAAGTCCCGCTCCTTTTTCGTCCTTGGCCTGAAAGCCTTGCAAATTCTGCACTTGTCCGTTTGGTGAGACTCCCCTAAGCACTTCAGACAAGAGTCATGGGGGTCTCCCGTTGGCATAGGCCTAGCACATGTTGCGCACGGCTTGAAACCGGGAACCTTGGGCATGAGCCCGGCTGTGCGCCTGGGAGGGGGAAGGGGGGAAAAATAGCCCCCTTAACCCCCGCTAACTTACGAAAACTATAACTATTTATGCTAGTAATCACAACTAATCTAAAGAACACAACTAACAACTATCTACAAGAAACAACGGGTAAGCTAGGAGAGTGGAGGACAGCTATGCCGCGCTCCACAGTTCCAACGACCATCACGGGTGGTAAGAAGGAACTGAGGGGGCGGTATATATTCAGCGCCATGAAGATGCCACTCCAGGGGGCTCCACAGCCGACCCACCGGGGGTTGCTAGGGTAAAACTTCTCCGACGATCGTGCACGCGGCGCGCACACACCTAATTGGAATCGATATGAGCAAGCACTCGAAGAAGAAACAGTGATTTTGATAGGGATGTTTACTTGGTGCCATGAGACATGGGGAACCCAGCAACTTGGGGCACCAGGGGGGGTCAAGCTATGTTTGGAAGCATAAAGTACCAAGGTGGAATGAGTTGCTTTCAGCTGAATCATCTGGCTAGTTACTTTCCTGTGGGACCATTTACCTACCTCATTGGGACCATGGTGGTTGTGTTTGGTGTGTTTCATATGGATGGGGCAGTCCAAATTGTGTGAACTGTCGGGCTGCATTTGCATCTGATGCTTTTTTAAAATTTTCTTTACATTTTCTTTGTATGTCTCTGTCATCTTTTTTCATCTTTTACTGGATGGGGATTTTTTATTTGTTTGTTTCCTCTGCATATTTTGCAAAGCTTTTATAATAAGTGTGATAAGAACATAAACTGTGATCTAACTTAATGGGCAACGAACACTAGACTACTAGTCTTTGAAAGGGTCAAGTATGATTGCAAACCAGTCTGCAAGCAAGAGGGTGCTCAAGTGTCTTTTAAATCTTTGACAAAACTGCACCCAGAAAATCTTGACGGTTTTTTGAAATTAGCGCTGAACCTGCCCTGCCCAACTGAGGTCCAAACAGAGCTTCAGAATGTTGGGCAAAGTCAGTGGGGAACTTAGGACACTTCCCAGTACAGATGTGAGAACAAAGGAAGGAAAGCAAAAGAGAGAAGGGAGGAAAAACAGCCTGAAAAGAAGCTGAACCCATGAAGCAGTTGAATGAGTATGTCTGAGGTATAAGTGAGTGTTAACTAACTTACCTCATCAGATACTTTAAACCTTCTCAGCAACGCCACCACTTTCTGCTTGAAGTTTTGTTGCTGTAAGTCAAGAACACTTTTACATGAATACGGCAAGAGGGAATGCACAAGTGCACCACCACAGCTAAAAATGGATACACTGACTGCTCCTAGGTAGAAACATGTATGGGGCTGAGCCACAAACCAAGGAGCACTGCTGCCCTTTCTCCTACCTATGTGCCATTCCCCAAGCAGAGCAGAATCCCCCAAGGTACATGCTATCCTATCCATGTTTACATCAACTCAGTTCCAGCCCTGACTGGTTTAGCCTTACTGCACCTCTGTGGGCTCCCAACATACATTAAACATTGCACTCAGCTAGCCATGTGTTTATGTATCTAGCGAAAAGACAACATTTTTTAGACTGCCAGTTAGTCACAAGCTGATGAATGCTTGTGTGAGTGCTTGAGGCTGTTTTTCTGCCTCCTTAATGCAGAAGTTCCACCTGCCTTCAGAGATGCAACTAACCCTTTTCCACAAGGGAGCAGTGAGTTTTCACACAAACTTTTACAGTTGATGGGGGTGTCCCAGTCTCCCCCATGTGGGTGACTGGAAAGTAGGTTCCATAGCAAAGATCTGCAGTTCATCTTGGCAAAGTATTTCACCCTAACAGTGGAGTTGTAACAACTTGGGCGGGTGGAGGGGTTTGGATGTTTGACAAGCCTTTTGGTTTGCCAGAGTCTGTGCCTCCTGAGCTCTGAATGCAGAGCTTCACTCAAAACAATACAACCCAAAGCACTGGGTTTTGCCTAATTTCTACCAAAACCCATAAGCCCCTGGCCTGCAGCAGGATGAAACTAATCTTAACCTTTGCAGAGAGTTTAACAAACCTGGGATGTTTGGCTTTAGCAAAAAGTTTTGCAAAACTCTGGCCCATACATGTTTTCACTAGACCTCCTGAGAGAACTGGCATGGTCTAGCTGAACTATGCAAGAGTGGCAGCTATTCTGAATGGGGGAAAGCAATGTCAATGGGCCCAGCCTTAGTGAAGGCTAGTTCCTCATTTTGCTGGCTATTTCCCTCTCTGCAACTTCTACTGTCTGTGTTCATACACAGTCTAGCCGAGAGATTTTAATTCTATATTTAAGCACCTGCCCGATTCTCAGAAGTGCTGAGCACTCAGCAGCTCCTACCGACCTTTTGAAAAAAATTAGACATGCCTAAATATGACCTCAGGAAATTTTTTTAAAAACCTTTGCCTATAAGTAGGGCCCTACCAAATTCACGGTCCATTTTGGTCAATGTCATGGTCATAGGATTTTAGAAATCGTGCATTTCATGATTTCAGCTATTTAAATCTGAAATTGCACAGTGTTGTAATTGTAGGGGTCTTGACCCAAAAAGGAGTTGTGGGAGGGTCACAAGGTTAGTGTGTGTGTGTAGGGCGAGGGGAGGCGGGGGGGGAGAAAGTTGCAGTACTGCTACCCTTACTTCTGAGCTGCTGCTGGCAGCGGTGTTGCCTTCAGAGCTGGGGAGCAGTGGCCGCTGCCTCAGAGCCAAGCTCTGAAGGCAGAGCTGCCGCCAGAAGCAGCTCAGAAGTAAGGATGGCATGGTATGGTATTGCCACCTTTACTTCTATGCTGCTGCCTGCAGAGCTGGGCCCTCAGTCAGCAGCCGCCACTCTCCAGCCGTCCAGCTCTGAAGGCAGCAGCACAAAAGTAAGGGTGGCATGGTATGGTATTGGCCGGGCACTGCCTTCAGAGCTGGGCGCTCTCCGGCCGGCCAGTTCTGAAGGCAACGCAGAAGTAAGGGTGGCAATACCACACCGCACCCACAACTCCCTTTTGGGTCAGGACCCCCGATTTGAGAAACACTGGTCTCCCCCGTGAAATCTGTATAGTACAGGGTAAAAGCACACAAAAGACCAGATTTCATGGTCCGTGACGGGTTTTCCATGACTGTGAATTTTGTAGGGCCCTACCTCTAAGTTCTTGGCATTATCTACAAACACCATGGTGTGGCTACTATTAGGTACAGTTTTTAGTTATGACTTTAGGATGACCATAACAAAGCCACTAGATACACAGTTCCCCTCAAACAAGTGAATTTAGGCCTGGTTTGTGAAATTCAGGCTGCAACTGTTTTCATAAATATGTGCTGTGTGGGGTATAATGATAGAATGGCGCAAATTGTGGTATAAATTGTTCACTGAGGGGTGCAGGGCCAGGGAAACCTCAGAGACCCCTGTGGCTTTGCTTCAGCAAGTCTCCTTCTCAAGGTCTCTCTTTGAGGACTGACAGAGTATTAGGGTTCACGTATGTGAGTGGGAGCAGGAGCCTCTTTCGAGTTTTCTCCTTTCCTTTTACTGATTTTACTAGAAATCAGTTGGAAGCAACAAAGCACATTTGGGGATTTTTTGATGGTTGGGGTCTCTGGTGATTGGTTCCATATAAGATGGGGGGAAAAAAATGGAGTCTCCTTCCTTGGAGGTTTTTAAGGCCCGGCTTGACAAAGACCTGGCTGGGATGATTTAGCTGGGAATTGGTCCTGCTCTGAGCATGGGGTTGGACTAGATGACTTCTTGAGGTCCCTTCCAACACTGATATTCTATGATTCTATGATTCTATGAAAACAGACTTCCCTGTTGAGAAGGTAAGAGCCTCCAAGAGGTTTTGGAACCTCCACAGTCTGATCCATCTGGTGCCAGCTGAATTCTAGGCATGGGAAACACTAGTTCAAGGTGGCAGAATTTTATTCCGTCCCTTGTATTTTATCCCGTAGAATCACTAGGGATATTAGCGTTTGTCCTTTTCATTTTACCTTTTCCTCCATCCCTCCTTCCTTTTTCTTCATCTCTTACTTCTTTTGTCCTTTCTCTTGTTCCCCTCCCACCCCCAGGAGTAGTGTGTGCGTGTGTCTCTGTGTGTATTGCTGGGGGTTCTGTTCACCTCT